ATACAGGAAAGCTTTTTCAAGTTGATAAAGAATATCTAACAAAAACCTATAGCTGACATAATACCTAATGGTGAGAAATTAGACACTTTCCCACTGAGATGAGAAACAATACAAGGATGTTCCCTCTCACCACTCCTACTTCGACATCAAACTGGAAGTTCTAGCTAATACAGTAAGACCAGAAAAGGAAATAAAGATATAATAAATGGGAGGAAAAAGGAAAACTGTCATTGTTTGCATACATAATCATCTATGTAGAAAATCCAAAAAGAACTGAAGGAAAAGAAACTCTTGGAACTAACAAGTGATTATAGCAAGTTTGCAAGATGCAATGTTAAATGTACAAATGCCAATAATTTTCTACTGGATCAGCAATGAACAAATGAAATTTTAAATTTAAAACATACTATCCTTTATATTATCAGCCCCCAAAATGAAGTACTTAGCTATAAATCTAACAAAATATGTATAAGATCTACATGAGAAAATCTACAAAACACTGATGAAAGAATTATTTAAAGAAAAAACTAAATACATGAGGAGATATTACATGTTAATGGATAGGAAGACTTATTATTGTCAGATATCAATTCTTCTTAATTTCATCTATAGATTGAATGTAATTCCATGCATAATCCCTGCAGGTTATTTTTTGGAAATCAACAAATTGAATGTAAAGTTTATTTGAAGACACAAAAGGCCCAGAGTAGCCAACTCAATATTGAAAGGAGAAGAACGAAGTCAGAAGACTAACACTACCCACCTCAACATACTATAAATCTATGGTATTCAAGACAGTGTGTTTTTGAGGAAAGAATAGTCTAGAAGGTAAATGAAACAGGATAGAAGGTCCAAAAATAGACATATGTAAATCTAGTCATCCGGTCTTTGATGAAGGAAAAAAAGCAATATGGTGGAGAACAGAAAGCCTTTTCAACAAGTGGTGCTGGAATAACTGGACATCCACACAGAAAAAAATAATCTAGAGACAGACCTTACAACCTTCAAAAAATTAACTCAAAATGGATCATAGACATAAGTGTAAATTGCAAAACTAAATAAAAACTCCTAGAAGATAACTTAGGAAAAAATCTAGATGACCTTGGGTATGGTATAGGCTTTTTAGATGCAATACCAGAATCACAGTCCATGAAAGAAAGAATTGAGAAGCTGGACTTCGTTAAATTAAAATTTTCTCTTGTGTGAAAAACACTGTCAAGAGAATGAAAAGATAAGCCATAGACTTGGAGAAAATATTTGCAACAGACACATCAGATAGAGGACTGTTACCCAAAATATACAAATAACATTGAAAACTCAACAATAAGAAAACAGAC